GAGCAGAGTCATAAAAAAAAAAAAAAACGGACTTCTCCCACCACGCAACCATGTTTGCAAACACGCGCGCGTTTTGAGACACGTCGACTCACTCCCGCTGCGTCCCGTCGGGTCGCGGCCTCCGTGTCGCCGTCGCGCCACCTGTCAGGAGAGGAACGAGATAGGAACAGAGGGAGAGAAAACGAGACGGGGTCAGAAGCGTGTAAGATGTGTCACGTCGCCATCTTTGCCATCACCACGACACAAGCGTGCGGAGCTGCGATGAGGCTAAAACAACCACCGCCTGCAGCGCGTGACCTGCACCGACTCCTGAGCCTGAAATCGGGTTTTTAGCGTGTCGATAATGGAACCTCATTGTCGAAATCCCCAAGATTGCCCCAAAGCAGGGGCCCGACCATATAACAACAGCAAAAGGTGAAGGAATAATAACAGACGGAGAGGAATACGGAGTTAGGCCTCAAATGTATGCCAGTGCATGCATCCACCCCCACCCCCACCACCCCCACCCTCCTTCTCCTGGCCGGGAGCTGTTTACCTCTCTATCAGCGGTGTTCTCTAAAAGCAGGGACCCCATCCATATTCACCGGCCTCAAACTCCTCTGCTTATCTCCCGCCAACCCTTGAAAAACCCGCCCGTGTTCCCCTCTGCACATACATACATACATAAACACGCCTTTATGGAGGCCGAGAGGCTGGACGCGCCGGGGCGGGGATAAGGATCACCTTGAATTCAAAGCAGAGGATTGTGGGTCCTCGGCGGGCCGACGGACAGGCGGCTAGCCGCACGGGCTCACGCGGGCTAAAAAGCTCACGCCGGCGTGACACACACGGACCACGAGACCCGGGGGGGGGTTGCGCGCCGGGGGGGGCGTTGGCAGTTCAGGGGATTTGAAATGCTGAGGCGTGGTGCCTATGAAATTGGGTGTCGCTGTAGATAGATATGCGTCATTAGGTGGCAGGTTGCACGTGCACGCCCTCTGACACGGACGCACTCCACGGACGCGCTAACTAGACGCGTTTGTGCCTCACTTTCGGCCGTGCAAGTGGAGTGAGTGTTGGAATAGTGTTTTGACCTCCCCGACATCGAGTTATTTGAAACGCTGAATCACATTTTTGTTCATCTGCTGCGAATCCAAACGGCAACGACACAGTTCTGTTTTGACCACTTCACAAGTGACTGTGAAATCTAATTGGATTGGCAGTAATTCCCAACGCGGAGATTCACATGGAGTGCACAAGTCACTCATGTTGGGTGGCTGCTTTGAAAACAGGAGCAGGAGACTGGCTGATAAGAGTTGACAGAATAAGTGTGTGTGGTGGGGGGGGGGGGGGGGGGGGCTGAAAAGAGTGCTTGAGCAGAAGCAGAGACACATGGAGTGTGTGTGAGGGGGGTTGGGGGGGGGGGGAAGGCGGTACCCCATTCCTCTGCAAGCTGCGTTTGTTTGGGGGATTGAAGTTAGGAACTCTCTCCACTACTAATTGCGCACTGGTGCCATTCATGAATATTCATTCTGCCGTGTTCAGACCCCGCCTAATTAGCCGGGAGATAGAGGAGGAAACTCGCACCTTTTACCACCAAGAAAAGCAACCCCCCCCCCCCCCCCCCCACCCTCTTGCATTCATTCTCAGGGGGATGTTGGCAGAGTAGCCCAAGTTCATTAGCCAAAAAAAAAAAAAAAGTTACCTGAAAAGCACGGGACGATTTGGGCTTCAAACTGGACGGCAAACAGGCCTTTTCCCTGCTGCATATTTAGTGCCTATTACGCATGTCCATCAAAAAAAAAAAAAGGAAGAAGAAAAAGAAAACTGGAAACGAAATACAATTATCTGATTGAGTGCGTTGGTGGATATTATTCTACTTGCTGTGGTTGGAGGGTACATCACATGAATTTTAAAATCTAAACATAGCTCGTGGCAGGTCGAGATGTTCCCCGTGGAATAGAGGAAGACTTTTATTTAACATCTGATGTGAGGCCATTTTAAGAGTGGGAGCGGATTATTTCAGGTGCATCTGTGGTAATAAAAGTCGATTATTAGCTTAAACTTTACTTCAGTGTTTGAATATTTAGAACCTTATATGAGGACAAAAATAACCCGTCCAAAAATATAACTTTTGTCTTCAAAAACATCATTTTACGTTGTTTTCTTGTCTGCATTATTTTATATATGAAGAAAACTCTTAACTGGTTGTCAGGGGAGATTTTGGGGGTTTTGTTTGCACTATTATTTATTCTTCGGGCCTACAGTGCATCCTGCAGCGGGGCAGAGTTGAGGGGTCGACGGGGTCCCATTGGACAATAAACTGCATGTCAGGGACATTTAACACGTGACTGGCGGAAAAGGAAAGACAAGGCCCTTCATTCTTACTTATAATTCCCCAAATTACAGAAGCGCAAAAACGCTGCATTCAACCGTGGATCGTTTCCAAAATAATAAAGCAAGCGCGGTGTGTTTGGGCACGTTTAGTGTCCTGTGCGTGTTAAACTATTTTCTTCTTTCTCTCTAGTTCCTGCATGTTCGCGTCATGCCGAGAATAAATCAGAGAAACGGGTTCTTCGGGGTGAAGAACAGACACGCGCACTTATTTCTGCTGAAATGATCCCCTTACTTCCTCCACGCTCGCCTCACGCGGTTCAAACTGAGTGCGCCTCGCGACTTTCTTTATTTATATCCACCAGTGTTCGCTCGCCGCTTCCTGGACGGCTCGTCATTCAGCACAGATGTCTGTGTGATCCCTTTCACCGCGCGCGCCATGGAAACCTACTGCGCGCCGGCAAAAATGCACCTCGGCGCGTAGCACAAGGCCATATTCTTCACCCCCCCCACCCCCCCCCCCCCACCAAAAAAAATGGGGGTCAAAGCATCTGGATCTTTCTTTTCCATGGCGAAGCACAGGACGGGCTCTGTGTGGTGGAAACCGCTGCTTTTTATAGGCGAAGGGTGGGTGTGTGGGGGGGGGGCAGGATGGCCGACGCATCTTCATTAGAGCTGCACGGAGCGCGACCGCGGCGACGCACTCCGGAGTTTAAGACGCGACAATAACGCGCGTCCCGCGTCAGAGAAGCTCGGTGCATCTGACGTGGGGGTTTATTTATTTACGTTTAATGGAATTTCAATCGGTTACTAAAGTTGCAATAAATCATACTGCGATCCATAAATATCGGTGTTGGTTTAATGATTTTTTTTTTTTTTTTTTAGATTTACTCTGTTTTAAAAATTAGGCACGTAATCATCGAGAATCAAAGAAGATAAAATGTAACATAATCCTTTGAAGAGTTTCTCTAAAACGAAATCCGTCGCGATCACACAGACAGTAAAAAGTGCACTGCGAGTAAATCGTGATATTTCCTTAAGATATCGGCGGTTCCTTTTAGGGGCAGTTTATTAAAAATGACCCCCCCTAAAAGGACACGCCGATATCTCCTGCGTGGATCGTCTCCCACTCTCCCCAAATAAATATATAAAGAGCGGATGGAGAAGAACCACGATGGAGAAGAACCACGCCTTTCAGGAGATGATGACGAGCACCCGTGACCCCGACACACACACACACACACGCACACACACACACACACACACGCACACACACACACACACACACTGAAGACAAGAGTACAGAGAGGACGCGGTGACAGCAGAAAGGAGACAACTTACCTTTTGGTATAAAGGTCCCGCGTGGAAAGGCGCTCGTGAGCGCGCGGTCCCCTGGACGCAGAGTCCAGTCGCGCGCGGGAGGGTGACAGCAAACGAACACGCGGCAGATGCATTGCAAACAACAACAAAACAAAAAAGAAAAGACGAAGGCAAAACGTTGCTTTCAGGTAAATGCTTGAAATGGGGGCGCTGCGCGTGAAAAGGCTCCCGAGAAGCTCCTGTTTTAGGAGGAGTGGAACATGTGGCTGATTGCGGAGTTTTAGGCGAATGGAAACGGCAGAGATGTAAGATTTGTTTAAAGCCCCGCATTTCCATTTAAGAACGTGATTGTGTTTGCAAAGATCCCTTTCAATCTTCGCATCTACTCCCCCCCGACCCCCTCCCTCCCTCCCACAACCCCCTTCTCTCTACCCCTCAGCGTCTCTGAGGCTGCTTTGCAATTCATAGAATTGGTAATTTGCTATTGGGACAAAACGTGAAGGGAAAAATAATCAGATCAACCGGGAGAGGTAGAAAGGAGCCAGGAGGAGGAAACACAGGGTTTCTCTCTCCAAGTTGCTGCTCAGTCAAATGCTTAGAGGGGTAAATTATATAAACACGTAGCCCATCTTATGTGTAAGTCTAGATTTCCAGAGAAAACCGCAGCAGCTTGACAGCGAGGATGCAATTTATGGCAAAAAAAAATCAGCAGCGTGATTGATGATTAATGAGGAATGACAATTACCAGATCTTAACCTTCGGGATTTCAAAATAAGATACTGAATGACGTAAATAAACTACGCAATATATGTCACCCTACAAAAATGTTGGGCATGGGGGGGGGGGGGGGGGGGTTTGAAACGCTCCGGGACGTCTCACATATTTAACGCCGCATTCACGGACACGTCACAAGCTTATTTACACGCCTCTCCTGGTGGTGGTGGGGAGGAGGTGTGGGAGGTGGGGAGGGGGGGGTCTGGAGGGGGTGGGGGTCTGTGGAGCAGGAGCCTCTTATAATCTATTTAAAATGAGGAGCGCTATAATCATCAGTGACCTATTATGAAGGTGCACGGGTGCGTGTTTCTAAGTGCATGCGTGTATGTTGGAAGAGGTTGTGGGGGGGGGGTGCAAAAATATCTGCTACTCCCCCACGTGGTTATTTGCAAAACAACCGATCTAAACTCAGGGAAACCTAATCAAACCCCGCTGCTGCACTGCTCCCGTGGAGAGAATTTGGGAGGGGGAGAGAGAGAGGAGAGGGGGGGGGGGGGGGATCACCAGATAGATGGGAGGCTATCTGAGCGCAGGTCTGCGAGTGGAGATGAGTGCTGTTAAAAACTCAAAGAGACATTTAATAAATAGAACATATGTTTTTCTATAACATGTGTAAGATCGCAGCTCTCCCCGTCCTGTGCCGCTGCGCGCTCGGAGACCTCGCGCCTATTGAACGTGTCCCCGGTGGGCTGGAAGCGGAGAGGAGCCAATGCAAGCGCAGGGGAGGCGTGTCTTCGCTCCTCCACAAGACCTCCCAGAGCAGGTTGTTGCATTCTGGCTCTAAAGCCGGGAGACCTCCGACGTGCTCGTCAGTTTTCGAAGTAGGAGCCATGGCGACAACAGCTCAGTATATTCCGAGGAATAACTCCTTGCCGTCCAACCCGCTCATGCATCCGGACTCGGATAGGATGCATCAGGGGACGACCTACAGAGAGGTGCAGAAAATGATGCACCACGAGTACTTGCAGGGGCTCGCGGCGACCAACACGGGACACCCGATGAGCCTGACGCACCACCAGTGGCTGCCCACCTCCAACACCGACTGGTCCAGCGGCACCCACATCGGGCAGCAGGAGCACAAAGCCAGCGTGCAGGCGACCCGGGAGGACCTGAGCAGCGGCTTCCACCACAGATCTCACCTGGTGCACCAGCAGACGCAGGGCAGCCACCACGGTTCGTGGGCGCCCGCCACGACGCACCACTTGTCCCCGCTGTCCCCGGCGTCCAACGGCCACCAGTCCCTGGTGTACTCGCAGCCCGGATACACAAACCTCAACGCGATGCTGAGTCCCCAGCCCGGCGCGCTGCACCACGGCATGCGAGACCCGCTCCACGACGATTCGGGCAGCCACGACAACCAGATGGAGTCTCCCCAGCAGGCGTTCAGTCACCACCAGGACCACTCGGACGAGGACGCGCCCAGCTCCGACGACCTGGAGCAGTTCGCCAAGCAGTTCAAGCAGCGGCGGATCAAACTGGGCTTTACGCAGGCGGACGTGGGCTTGGCCTTGGGCACCCTGTACGGAAACGTCTTTTCTCAGACCACCATCTGCAGGTTCGAGGCGCTGCAGCTTAGCTTCAAGAACATGTGCAAACTTAAGCCGCTCCTAAACAAGTGGCTGGAGGAGACAGACTCGAACACGGGCAGTCCCACCAATTTGGACAAGATCGCCGCGCAGGGCAGGAAACGAAAGAAGAGGACCTCCATTGAAGTAGGGGTGAAAGGGGCGCTGGAGAATCATTTCTTAAAATGCCCAAAGCCGTCAGCTCACGAAATCAGCAGTTTGGCCAACACGCTGCAGTTGGAAAAAGAGGTTGTGCGCGTTTGGTTTTGCAACAGAAGACAAAAGGAGAAAAGAATGACACCAATCGGGGTCCCTCACCCGAATATGGAGGACGTATATTCCCAGGCAGAGACCCCTCCGCTACACCGCTCACTACAGAGTCCTGTACAGTGACTGTTTTCATGAACAATAAGAGCATTAGAAAAAGGGGAAAGGGACTACGGAGTTTACAGTATTTAAGTTTGGCTTTTGTTTTCCTCAGAGAAAAGAGACGTGGAAAAGTTGAATAGTTTTGCCCTTAGTATTCGGACGCCGTCGACAAACAGATGGCAAGAGCGGACATGTGGAGAAGAAAAAGAAGAAGAAGGAGAAAAGAAGAAGAAAAAAACAAGAAGAACAAAAATATTCGCTGTTACTGAATCCGCGCGCGTTCAAAGTGAAACAAAGATCTTTATTTACCAAAACGATATGGAGGAGAAGGCATATAAAGTCAATTTCATAACCCATGGCTGTTTCAAATGGGGCGTAATTTAACGTGGCAGAGCGAGGCCGTCTCCTCCTGGTGCTCCGTGAACTGGTGGCGGCTGCGTGGAGACCATCAACAACTGGAGATCAATACACTGAACGAACATTTTGCTTTCTGCAGACCTAAACTGATTAACCAGATTTCTGAATATTGGTGTATACTTTCTTTGTTCTATTACGTGTGATGTTTTTGGTTTTGGAAATACTTTTAACTTCAGTGTGTCGCTGAACTGTCTCATGATTTCTGTCGTTGTTCGCTGTAAGTCATCCGAGCAGCATCTTCTCCTTTTTATATCTGTTGACTCTGTGGGAGGTGATGGAAAGGATGGCACCCGAAACACTCATCGTTAACAAACAAAAAAAATACACACACACACAATGCAACAGGGCGTTTAAGTTCTGAGTGCACGTCTTCAAATGATAGTTCAAAACGTCGACATTTGCAAACAGCACTAGACGCTAAAAGGGGAATTTTAAAAAGCGCATCGTCTTTTATTTGGGGAGGAGGGGAGGGGGGGGTGTTTGCTTATCAAAATATTGTTTTCTTTGCATGGAGCACTTATTGTTTCGTTGATATTATCATTATTATTATTATTATTATTGCAATTTTATATTTGTTGTGAGTGGGGCCGCAGGCTTAAAACACAATAAATCCCATGTTCGCAGGTTCCTGGTTGTCTCCCACACTGCTCACTGCCTGATAATCCTGTTGTATTCCAAACACCTCACGAGAGATTGGTCATATACGAAATGAAAAGTAATAGTAACTCAGGTAACTTCAGTGCCCCTTCGTCGGAATATCACGCCTGTGTACGTGTTTTTTTTGTTTTATTTTCTTTATTTTTTAGATCTGGTTACAACCGCACCGTTTTCTTTGTCCCATAAATCCACTGTATTATATTAAAACGCTGGATTCGGAGAGAAGAAAATAATAATTCCTCAAGGGGAAGCGATGAAGGGACTTAACAAGATATATTTATTTTTTTTCTGACCTGAAAGGAAATCTGAAAATCTCATGCCGTTGTGTGTCGTTTCTCAATGTTGGACTAGTGCAAAAGTCTAAAGCAGTGCTATTCAATACAGATGAGGGAAACATTTCTTTTTCAAGAAAAAAATAATAATAGTAAAAAATAAAAAAAAAGAAGATTTTAGAGAAAATGTTGCCAGGATTATTTCCGATATGTAAATATGTCCAATATGTAAACTTGTATTTGTTCTGAGATATTGTTTTGTTTTTGTTTCTTTCCGGGCCGTTTTGTACACTTACTAATTCCAAGAAGATATTTTAATATGATTTCATTTATGAATCTGACCATTTATATATATATATTTATTTCTTAAACGTGTTTGGAGCTTTTTGTTTGGCTCTGTCAATGGTTACGTTGCAGTGGATTTCTGTATGTTTCTCTTTTTGTTCACTACATTGGTTGTATGTTGATTGCTAAATGTAGACTGCAAAGTCACATTTATATTTATGTTATAGTAATATTTTATTACTTACATAAAACACATATATACAAGAAATGGTCTTTTGTCTTCATTGAGAACCGAGCCACTGGTCCTTTGTTGCTGTCTGTTGGAGCCCCGCGCGGCAAACGGACGCGCGCACGCCGTCCATCGCTGCTGCCCGGTGTGCTGAGCACCGGGAGGGGGGGGGGGGGGGGGGCAGTCATTCGTTATGTAACACGGGGGTCGTTTAAATCACAAGCTGTGTACACGTGCTGTTAAAGGGAACAGACAACCGCGTTTTACCTCAGGCGTCCCCCGCTAAGTCCACGCAGTCTCTGACGTTGTTCACTTCTTTGTGTAATACTCGCAGTATTAAATTGTGCAATATCACCACGGATTTATTGTCGTTTCATTGAGTGGTTATTATTTATTTTACTGCTACTAATATCATCAGTAGCCGTGTTAGCCATGTGGGTGTTTATCTAGAGAAGAATGGGCCTATTTCCGTCACGTTGGGCGCTTGGCCTTACAATAAATCATCTTAACTCGTCATGTTTTAAGCATTTAAAAAGCACGGACGAATCTTTGATCTAAGACGGGGAGGCCTGCAGCAAATGTCGGCCTCTTTTCTAAAAAAAAAATAGAGAGAAAACCCATAAATGATAAGAAATAGCCAGGCCCTAAAGTTTCGAACGACTCGATACAGGCCTGCGCGCAACAGCAACTTCTTTTCACGATATCTGCCCCCTAAATAAATATAGAATTTTTTCTAAATCGTATATTTTAAATGTAGCCTTAAAGTCAGGCCCGCACGTGTGTAGGAGCGCGTCCTTCTCCTCGCGGACACGATGCGCACGTTACGGCAGGTGACGTTCGGGCTCCACGGGGAGACACACAGTCTGCGCTGCTTTTTAATTTCCTACAACGCATTAAAACTAAACGAAAAGAATCTCAATAACAAGGGAAAAGCTGTTAGATGAATTATTCAATCAAGAGGTTTACGATATTTCCAAGTTTGCTACCTTTCATTTGGGATATTATTTTAATTATAGTTATTTAAGTTATTCTAATGTTATTCTATTAGGCTAGTCGGCCGTTATCTGACATGACTGCGCGCAATATAAAGTTTGAAGGAGCATTCAGTGTCTTTCGAAGACATTTACTACCTTCGTATTAATTTCTTCGTAACATTTCTACGCCGTTTGCAACGCTCAACATCTGCGATTTTCCTTTTTTTTTGCGTAATACAATTTAAAAAAAAAAAGGTAAATATGCTTTTGTGCGCGGTCATTTGATGCCTACAGCGGGCCGTGTGTTACAAACAGCGAGACACAATACCAGCACGCCATAACGTCAAAATCCGCCTTCAGTGCTGCTGTGATGGAAATGAAAGAAGTGTCACTGGACTCACTGAAGTGGTCAAGACGTTGAGCGAGAAGGAAACGAGCTTTAGGAAACGAACCAGCAGTCAGAGAACCGCGGGCCACAGGTGCCCCCCGCCGGCAGGACTGCGGTACTGCATGCTCACTGATGGAAGTTACCCAAGCTTGATAGAAATGGACAATAACAACAAAAACAACACTGCAACGTTTAAAAACAACGAACTCATCATTTCCAACAGTATTTCAGCTGAAACATGCCTGACAAATTTACTCCACCTGCAAAAGTAAACCTTTACGGAGGTGCACCGCAGAGACCTGTGTTGTGTTTTTCTCTATACATATCTAACTAACAAATACACACACCATGGGTTTATGTGAGGAGAACGTCTGGGGTAAATGTCTTTTGTACAGGTACACAAGTGGTGTCGCCCCTGTTGACCTCAGTCAAAGTGTCACTCAGACCACCGAGGTTCTCCAAGTCACCAATACGAATGGTTTGAAATGCAAACGCAACATAGATCGAGCACTAAAGGGATTCCACACTTGTCGAGAGAGATCGTGGTGACTGGTACGAACTGTTATTTGACATTATGCATTTTCTATTCTGTGCCGTATGGAGGGACACAACCCCCATTATGCTGATGAATCAATAATACATGAGCAGAACTCCTCGCAAAACAGCAAAAACCCAAGCTATTTGACCTTAAGAACCACCACAGCTCTCCTCCTCCCAGCAGCCTGCTCTCCTCGGAGAGTGGGCCCTCGGCAGCACTTGCGATGGAGCTGGAGCCTCGGCGGTGCCCCGGCGCTCGTGAGCGCGACGCCTCCTTCATCGGGGAAGTATCGTCACACACAGGAGATGTGGATTAGCGATGATTAGCAGGGATTATGGCTGGTTAATGGTGGGAAAATACATTAGGAACCATGGGCCCTGGCAGGGGGAGGGGATTTCACTCACGCTAGCGGATTTGCATTGATCCAAAGCAAATGAATGAGGATTAGCAGCATCAAGCTATCTGCCAACAGATAAATAACATTAAGCGTATTATACGCCAACGCCTGTTATTAATGACATTACAAACAACACTACAATGCTGGCAATTATGGAAATAATGGGAGCGGATAATAATTCCCATGGTCGGGATTCCAGATCATCCTCATGTACGCAGTCATGGGATGATGCTGGAGAGCTACGGTGCTGGCAGGCAGAGGAAACCGTAGTTCTCGGGTACCACTTTCTAATGAAGCATGCCTTACAGGGTTTATATATTGGTTGACGCTTTATTATGGTTCAATAAATAATGAATTCCTGTTTTATAGATTAGAAATAAGCCGTTTGTAGGAACCCGTTTCGGGTTGCCAACTGTGAAATCCCTCTTGGGTGATGCATACTCTCTTCCAGCTGCACTGGTCTTTTGTTTTTATCACACATACCACGAAAATCCCTCCAATAGCTTCATCATTTTCAAATGGGAAAAAATACAGAGCACCAGGACCAAAAGCCATCTATTTACAAGTCCCGATTTATTACATTATTGAAGTGAAAGAAGTTTGTATTCCCGTTTTACTCACCTACTCAATATATGTGCATCCTAAAATTGGGCTAATTATTACTGATCACTATTAATGCTTGATTTATTACACATTAAGTAATACTAAAACATATGCCTTATTAGAAAGTGCTAGCTTGAGTTTGATTGACCGAGTGGGAAAAAAAATCACACGAAGCGACCGTTTACACTTAGTTAATCAGAGCAGGATTTTAAAAACTGCCTAATTCTCATACAGATGCATCAGTTTTTCATCTTGTGGCACATACAGCTTCTATTGGATCCATACGGAGACATGCCTGACACTGATACAATTAGGGAGGCAACAGTGCGGAGAAGAAAAGGTGGTCATTCCTCCATCCAACCTGAGAGGTAAAGCAGCCTGTAGCTTATGTACTCTATATTCACCGTTTATGTAATAAATACTCCTCTCCCACAGAGACGGGCAGCGAAGGGGGGGATGAAGGCCCGGGCGGAAAGAAAAAAAAACACAGAATAATGCATTTCTTCATCAAAAATTCTTTCTCTACCTCTACCTCAAGGTTTCCTCCTCTGAGCCACTTGAAAGATGGGCAACAATGTGGCCACACAGTGAACACCTAGTTACCATATGAAACACTCCAGCAGTGAACTGGAGGAGACGGAGCCCGGAGAGGAAAAGTCTTGTCTTATTTATGATACCGGGCCTTGTAGCTATATGGGTCCCCCCTTCATGTCGACTCCAAGGTATGGCCCCCATATGCGAAGAGGGGGGGGGTTTAAGTGCAGCTCTCCCAGCTCCTCTGCATCTCTTGCCGCTTCTCACTCTGAGGTTTTGAAGAAGAGAAGTAGCCCGTCTCTCTCTTTCATGGCTTTGAGGGACGTTTTATATCGCCTCAGGTGTCTGTCAGTGTGACTAACAGTTCTGAGAGTGGAGAGCTAATATCTCAGGAACTTGCCTGCAGGCAGCAGCGCATAGATGTGGCTGTTGGTGGCACACAACGTGAAGAGAGTCATACTTTAGAGGCATTCGGCAGCAGCAATTACTACTGATTCAGTGAGCTGGTTGGTATTAAACAATGGATGTGACAAGCTTAACAGGTGACAAGAGCAAACGAGGGAAGGTAAGATGAACGCAATCATCTGTGCTGCACAAGCTGCTTTCATTTTGGAGGGTGTCTGACAAAAGGTTGCAAATAGCCCCAAGGAAACGTATTGAGGATAACACACGTGCTTTTTAAACAACTGCACAAGGTTGCAAAGTTAATTGTTGCGGCCAAGACGGCGTGCCATTGGCATGTTAAAAGGTTGTCGCCCTCTCTTCACCTTCGAGTTAAGCTTTTGTCAACTGTAGCAAAGGCGCGGCGACGCCGCTCGACTGCGATAACAAGCTTCGGTGCCGAGAGTATAAGAGAAAGCATGAGACCTTGCAGAAGAGAGACAAACCAATAAAGACCAGGAAGGTCATGTGACCCTGGAGCGCACCGCCATGGCCTTCCTCCATCAAGGGTATTCAGAAAGAGAAAAAAAAAAAACACAAAACAAGGCCGCTCACGGACGGACGTATGGGCAGAGCAGCTGTCTGCCCTCGACAATCGAGGAATAAACAGCGACTGAGGAAGTCGCAGCTCAGCTCAACGCTGCTTGTGTGCGCGCGCCCTGCAACCCCAACCCAAGCAACATTGTCTGCCGCGGTCGTTTACCCATGACTGATCCTTCGTGTTATGCATGCCGGAATGGATATCACACGGTGAACCACCCCCCCCCGCAGATTGGAGCTGGACATTAAACGGATCATCAAAAGGTGGGATCCCACCGTCCCGGCGGTTCGGCTTCGCCCTGAGTTCAAAGGAGGAAGATTGTTGGGAGTGCTGTTGCCCAGGAAAAAAAAAACAACAACAGCAAAGATAAGGCTGATGGAAACAAATAAATAAGGATGGAGGAGAGAGGAGACGGAGGGCGGGTGGGGCTGGAGGGGGAGGGCAAGGCAAGTAAATGGCAAAGACACAGCGCAGAGACGAAACGGAGACCTGCCGCTGTGCTCAAGGACACCGCGTGCCACTGTGTAATTACAAATGTACACAGATGATTTGGATGCGGCGACGTGATTAGGCAGAGCGGTCCCCAGTCTTAGGCCTAATCAGCTCACTTCTGAGAGATACTC